TTTGTTGCTGTTCATTAACTTCCCTCTAACGAAAGCTGCTCGCTCGCGAAGCTGTGCTGAGGAACCCTGTATATTCTTTTGCTAACTTGCCGAACCAGAACCTAATCTGTCAACCGTAGATTAGAATAAAGAAAATCTGTGAAAATCCCATTCTGTTGGAATCCTTGCCTCACGGCTACTGATTCCGTCCGACCAATACGAACCATCCCAAAGGGGCAAATTTCTAATATCCTTTCTTTTTTTATTCATATTTTTCTTGTTTCGCGACGGTCAAGGTAGTTTGCAGGTAGCTATTCAAGTACAGCCAGTACGAGTAAATACTACCGGCCACGCCAGACGACCGCGTGCGTTACATAATCAACGTTAAGACTCTAAGTGAAGTCAGGCCAGGAATCAAACTTCCCCCTTTTTCATTTAATATATATAATCTTGCACATGTCACACCTGTGCACATTAAACATTAATATATAGAGCGAGGCAAAAATCCTCAAACATATGGAAAATGTTATTTTTTCCCTACCAGGTAACTTATGAACAATGTCCCTAACACCACCTGATCAATCATTAATTATCCAATCATGCTTACGCTTGCTTGGTAGCAATCAGTGACAGAAACTAACAAATGCATGAAGCATTCTAACATTCCCTGTGATCACCCTCCATATTCAGAGATGGTGAAGCAAACCTTGAGATCTAACTAACACAATGAATGCATCCTTAGCTCTTTAAGCAAGAAGCTTCCTGAGAGAGGGTTCACAAAACAGTTCAGGTGGATTTCCATCACAGGGTTTTGGCCCAAGACCACTTGCAAGGTCCTGAGTCTTGCCCTGTCTCAGTCACTCTGGGGCTACCCTCATTGACCTTCCAGTAGCAACCGAACTCTCATCTCAAAACCCTTTAGTTTCTATTACCATGAACACAGAACCTGACGTAATAGAATTCCCGGCTCTGTGACAAAGGAGAGACTTGCTTTCCCTTGGTCTACAGTGGAGGTACTTCCCTGGGACAGCAGGCACCCCTGTGATGTCTGCTTACCTCCGAAATAAAATTGTCTTTACCAGTAGGAAACATGAGGAAATGTACAATGGAAGAAACAAAAAAAACAGTTTACTTCATTCCATGGGCATCTATCAGATCATACATGAAAAAAGGCACAATGCATGCTACATTCATACATCAGCAAGCAATAACATGAAATCAGGATTTAGAATGACATCATAATTGACCAAGAAATAGGAAGAGCCAATTAGTTCAATTGCAAGAGTAAAAACAGACATCCTACACTTTCAGATGCAAATTAAATATTCAGCATTGGAGAAATTGGATGTTATGTAGAGGAGGAATGCAAACGTTGTTGAGGTTAGGCTTCAAGAAAAGACTATAATTTCAAGTTGTTAAATATGAATTAAATATGAAAAATATGAAACCTTGCATTCAAAACACCATGATGAGTTCTGCAATTCAAGATGAAACTGTTTGCACATAATAAATATAAACCAGTTGGGAGGGGCCTGTAGATACAGTAGGCTGACCAGATTCTAAAGCAAACAAAGCTCATAAGAAGAAGAGTATGGAGATCTAAATGGCCTAGCATGTGAATCAATGTTGAGAAGGGATATGGAGGAAATGGGATCCTCCCATCAAACAGGATCCTGAGCATGCCTTTCTGGAGTTCTTGCACTCGCATCTCTAAGTTGTCCAGAACACAACCCTGTACAGTGCATGGATGTGGTCTCTTCATGCCAGGATTCTTCACTTCCTCAACTGGAAAACTTCCAAACCAATTTTGTCCCCAAAAGATGGAATCCAATTGCCCTAAAAACAAAGAAAAATAATGACCAACTACAAGAAAACAGTTACACACACCTGCAGTCTCAGCAATACCATTGGGACTTCACTTTCAATCATCAAGATAGTTAATGAGATACCACATACATAGGCAAGTAATAGAACATCATGTCATGCACAAAATAATTATCCACAGTCAAGAACACCTGAGAAAGCTTCCATCACCTCCCCTTATTTATTCATGTAAGAAGAGCATACCTTTATAACATCAACAGAAAAATCTTGAATGTCAAAAAACAATGAATGATACTCATAACCTGCATAAAACTTTACTGAGGTTCTCTTTGCGGAAAATGAAGAATCATGGTGACTTCTGCAAAATATGTAACTTCTTTGATGGGGAGCCATGTAATAATACAAGGTGGACACAGAGTCCCTCAGGAAAAAATTTGCAGAAAATTTGGGAATAGAGACTTTTTTTTAACATTTCAAAAGTTGTTGAAAGCCTAAATGGGACAGGTTTTTCTTTTTCATTGGCATCTGTGCCAAAAATGTACACTATCTCCTAGAATGTAAAACTGCAACTGGATTCTAAATGTTTTTCATATTTTGCAAATAATTTCATCATTGAAGATGAACCTCACAGTATCAGACTTGGGATTCATAAGGTTCGGCTATATTGTAGACTCTCTTGATACTTTGTTCTTAATACAGCCCCCAAGGGAAAAAAATTCAAGAATTAAGTTGGTGACACCACTGGCCAAGCAATGAGAACACAACTATAAAGTGTTGCCATGCAAACACAGGTGCATCTCCTGAAAAATGTGATGGACTCAACCATGTTCAGAGTTGCTTGTTTTGACCACCTTAACAATCAATGAGGGTATGAAAAAGGCTTTACACATGCTACCATTTTTTTCATTCACACCACAAAAATTTGGGGAAAGCAAAAAAAAAATCATTAACATCCAATGTTTTATATTTTTTTTTACTCAGTCACAGAATTGGGAAAAAATATGAAAGCCATCAGTAATAACCAGTACTCCATCGTGCAATGTTAGAAATCAGAGATATCTTGTACTAGGCACCTGACATATGGGAATATAGTATGAGATACCTCATACTTGTCAGTCAATTTGCCAAAGCATATTTAAATAACTTTCTCTCTCGAATATTGATTATTGCATGCAAAATGATAAAATGAATTGATTTTCCTCTAATGCACACCACACAATTACTTTTGGTGATTAATACACCAACCACAAATTCTCAAGAAGTTTTTGTGCTCTGCAAATGAAATGTTTGCATTTGCTTACAACACCAGAGATACATGAAGAGTTGCCCATTTTAAAAAAATTACACTTCTCAAAAATGGAGATTTCCTTTCAATATGTTCAAATAGCTCTTGTGTTCTTTTATATGTTTATCTTCAATACTTTCTTTAGAGATGCCTAATTCTGCTTCTGCTACTTAAAGAAGTCATATGACTGGCTGAAAACACCTCAATTTCTACCAATATCTTACATGAAGGATGAAGTTTCATGTCTGGCACTGAACTAAAAAAAACTATTTTTTTTAAATATCTTGTGTGCACCTTAGCAAGTTTTTCTATGCATAACAACTCCAATGAATAAGAAAGATTCCTGCCACCCCCCCCCAACAAAAAAAAAATCTGGACTCAAATGCAATAAACTCTAAAAGTTAAGGTCTTGAAAATTTCAGTGAACAATGAATCTGCACAATGCACCTTACCAAGACTTTCACATGTTTAAACAAAACAACACAGGCATGGCTGGCCCTAGCACAATTTTATATTTTATGTTACTTACTTTTTTTTAAAAGTAGTATTGGCGATTGTCCTATAACTTAGCTATCACCTAGTGATAATTACTTACAATCGAAATGTGGCTCTCATAGGGAGAGCCTTCAGCATTTACTGTCTTCTCAAACCTAAAAAAAATAGGGAGACCAGGGTTCAATCTCACATAATACACTAAAAAAAATACAGCCTGAAATTTAGCCACTTTGAACTTGAAATGTAACTTCTAGGCTTCCTTTAAAATTATTTTCCTCTGTAATTTTGCTGATTTTTTTCTATCCATGGACAAGGAAGACCATTTAGGCCTACATTACATCTGCAGAAAAAAAAAAGATTTTCAAGAAGCCTAAGGGTTTCCTGGAAAAGGCTGCCAAGTTAGGGGCTGGACATTTTTCCCTCCATATGGTTCACACAATTCATGCTTCTCAATTTTTTAGACATAACAATTTGGAGTTTCAGGTTGTTGCCCTCCACAAAGAAAGATTGCATTAGTCAACAGATTAGGAATCCCTATCCTAAATAGGACAGGTACCAAGTGGAAAAATATTGTGCATTCCTCAGCATCAGCTGCACAACAGCATGGCTCTAACCAAAGACATGAGTGTCCGTAAATAAGTGGTGCATGATTTGGTTACACTTGGTCAGTTGGCAGGAACTAGGGAGAATGAGGAAGGAATATGAGAAGAGAGGACAAAGACAAAGAAAAAAGAGGAAAAAGACAAAGAAGAAGATGAGATTTCCAATGTTTAAAGCAGGTGGCTGCCATTATTGGTTGAGTCACATTTTGGTACCCTCAATGAAACTGTGCACTGTGGCACAAGCTTAAGGTATACACTAAGGAAGCAGGCAGTCTCAGAGAGAAAACTGGTTTTGATTTGCCTCATGAGATCTCAGTTACCTTGTGTTCAGATTGCACTTTATTTATAACTGCTTATCATAATATTTGTCTGGCTAGCCATTCATACAGTTCTCAGCACATCATGAATCAGTGTTCATCATGGGAAGGATATCAAATGATTCTCAGAACCTGACTGAAGGCTTACAAGTAATGACAGGTGCAACTGTTCATTAAATTATCCCTGGCATATCATGTCAAGGTTTTACAAAGATGTCAAAAGGCTGAATGTGAATTGCTGAAACAAGATGGACTGACAGAAAACGTGAAAGCAGCAAGCTGTGGGCATTCTAAACCACAGAAAAGATCAAATACATGAAAGAATTGATCCATCAAAAAGGATAACTTGAGACTCATTGGTGAACATGAAAGAAATCTCTCAAAAGCAATTTCATTCCTGAAACCACCTGTTGCCTGAGCTGTAATTTTGAAGGGTGACTAAGTAATGCATGTGCCAAGAAGCAGAATGCAGATTGTACCTTCACTGCAAGTTTCAATAATTTAAACTTTGAAAAGTTAAGCACTATACAGAAATCTTTCAAATTCACTAGAAATATGATATGAAGGAAAGCATAAGCCTGGCAGATGGTGGTGTTTAAAATATATACTGGCTCCCACTTTTTTTGTTCAGAAACATTGTATAACATGAGACATCTTGTTACGAGGTCAAGGTCCAGTTTTCATGGAGAATAAAATCCAAATTCTAATATACAGGGTGTTCATTTTTAAATACAATATATGGAACACATTTTGCTGTCTCTTTGTAGAATTCTACATGTGTCTTACAGCTCACCGGGTTACATATCTGGAAGGATGAATTTCATCACTTGCATGTTTCCTAGCAGATATGCTTGTGAACCTTATAGCATTTGCTGCCCTCACCTACAGGCAGCAAGATATTCCCTATGTTGCATTTAAATATGAACACCCTGTACATACATGTAATGAACTAACCCAATAGGATGGAGAATGCCTTGAAGTGTCATGTTCTTCTCTCCTCTTCAAGTGATGTCCTTGCATCATTTCAGATAACACCAGATTTTCCCTTCCAAAGTCCATGGTATCATCCTGGAAAATAGCACACCATTGCATGAAAACTTTAAAATCAAGGACAGTGAAATTCAGCAAGGCAGAGTATGCAAAGTTTTCATCTTAAACTGTAATAGGCAATATGATTCTCATAACTCAAGTATATGAATGTATTCATTGCAATAATATTTAGGGTTTGAATATATGGAAATTTTAATATTCTATTATTACTTCGATTATATTTCTTAAGTCTGGAATATATGTATATCATATTTCAGCAAAAATTCAAAATCAGTGCAATTCTAATGAAAAGATGGCTTTAGCACCTGTAAAGCCCCAGCAGGAAGCAGAGTGAAGCTCTTCAAATGCCATCTGGTCTGAAAATGACCTCCACTTGAACCTCTCCCTTAGCGCTTGCCTCCATTGAGCATTCCTCTTTCATCACTTTCTTTCCCTATGTCACATTCTGAAAGACAAAAAAGCCCATGATCCTTATATGCACAATGCCTCATATTATTCCAAAATCATCCTATTCTTATTTCATCCACTTTTACATGCAAATTTCTTCTGTCAGGTTTCTTCTTGAATCTCCTTCCCTTGTTACGCTCTCCGAACATAATTTTCTGGAAGGGGTGTGCTTGCCCTCAGTTCATTACATCCATAAAGGAAGCACTCCCTGTTCAGCATGAGCAAGTTGATTTAGTATATGTTGAAAGACAATTTCACTGGAATTCATTCACTTTCAAGATGTCTAGTACCTTGTCAAGCTTGGTTAAAACTAACCAGAAGAAAAGCCTCATATTTCCTAGTAGCCAACTTTCAAATAAGTTTAGCACATCTCCCTTAGGATTGCACTTTACACCTACAAAAGCATACAGGTAATATTACACCACAAGCCTAATAGCAAAAGTCTAAAAAGAAGCAAACCTCGCCTGGATGGACAATCTTCAAGAATCAAGACGGGAAGTCTTGGGGGAAACTTCGAGTCCTTCAATGCTACTGGCATATCAACCATCTGATTCAGCCCAAGAGCTCCAGTCAGTCCTGCAATGCAAATTGTTATTCATGGTGATGTGACAAACTATAAACATTGTACCAATGCACATCTACATGTACATGTTAATCTTTTACTTGAGGTATTAATACAATGCCATAGGCTGTGCTATATAGTAAATAAAAATAGTAAATAGTACAATGTCAAACAATTAACAAATGCCATGGCACTGTTCTAATCATACTTCATTTTTCATCAGAGGTCTTTGCATTCAGCTGTAAGAGAAAACTGCGAGTGGTTAAAATGCATTCTATCAATGAATCCAAACAAAAGCAGGCTTTGCATTTGCAGCCAGGATGCCAGAAGTTAAAACAATTCATGCTGACTTCTGATAATTGAAACATATAGTAAATACGCGAAAGTCGAGCCTGTTTCCTTAGTACAATGACGTGCTGCACAAGAGAAGCTCCATAATGAACGAATGCTTCACGCAGGGTTGTGAGTGTGTTATATCTGTAAAAGTTGGATTGTGATCTACAATATCAGCTTGAAAGCCTTTGAATCATTAGTAACGATATCACGAGAAGCATTGAAATGCAATAGTATATCTGGACGCATGAATCGAACCAATGGCGCGAGAGCCGACCCTGCGGTTCCTCAAAGTCGGGCCTGTGATGTGCTTCCTAGCCTCACTACGCATCCACCACCCGGCGTGAAGGCTTTAGCAAGCCTCCATGCCTCTACGCGCATGCTGCTCGCCGTGTTGGCTTGCAGAGGCAGGAACGACCGATTTTGGACAGACTATTTTCCCAGCATAGTTGCCTGAGAGGTATCTCCAGGAGGGAGATTCGAAGAGGGGACTAGCTGGATATTGCTTGGCAGTCAAACTTGATAAGAATATCCATGGCCTTTGATATAAATCTTAGGCTGACCGTGGAAAGATGGATGTACCATTAGCACCACCAGAGACGTGCCGTTGTAAATTTGAATGCAGAATTCCCGGCCTTATGCGTGTGCTTCACTTGCCTATGCCTACGGCTAGGGATCGACTTTCAGAGACCCTCACCGCGATTCGGTCCAGAAAACCGACCCTCTAAAATATCGAATCCCGAGAACATAATGATGTAATCATTTCTTACAGCATACTCTTCAGCTACCTTAGAACACCATATTTACGACCATCGACGCTTAGAGCCACCAGTAAGTACCACAACATAATGTATACCAGGGACATTCGTAACCATGATCTCAGCGTGCCTCACTTAAAGTAAGAACGATGTAACTTAAGGAGCTCGTTTCCGGTTGACTATACGGATTTAACAACGATGTATTCTTTGTGAGACACGTTTTAAGCTTCGCTTAAAACACGGATTCGACGACGAAGACACAGAGGGCAGTATGACATTATAATGGCGAGGTCCGTGAAGTGAACCGGAATTCCGTCCAAATTCGTGCACGGGTCGACTTTCGCGTACTTACGTTACCATTAAAATAAAACCTGGCAATGCGACAGAGAGATGTCACACCCTTACACATGGTAACATGCAAGAAATCTTGAAAGAGCGAACCGTGTCAACGAGTGAACTTGGAAAATGGGGAAAGACAGCACACGAGTATTCCATCAATCACTTTCGAATTAACAAACTTCTCCCGGTGCCTATCAGGTAGGCCTAAAGAAGGCTACATATGGGAAACCTAAGTCCAAATGTGATGGACGGAAATGGACCGCTGATCGTTTAAGAAAGGCTACCCTTACAACCGTTTCCCTCATCCGAGACCAGTCAAGGACAGCATTTCTGGAACTAGGCCTAGTCATACCCTGCGAGAGACACAGCCCTAAGATATGAGAGAGAGACACAACGAAAATGATACCTTCGAAAGCGTGACAAAGGTCGAATGACGTCGGATCCCGTATGGCACTGACCCGAGAAAACCGGCTAGGCTGAAGCTGTAAAGGAATACAAAGCGCGGCGACGTGGTGTTGCATAGTCTGGGAAATGGGCGGGGCCTCTGAGAGATCGGGTACCCGCTTCAGCTCTTGGTGCTGGGGAGGGAGCTAGCTTCAGCTTCGGGAAAACCGTGGACCTCCATCGTGCATGTCTCCGTTCGAACGAGGGGCCCCAGAGCCACGAGCACCGAAATACGACGGAGGAAGGGCATATTCGAAACCTGACACCGACATGCAAGCGGAAGGAAACAGGGTAGTGCCCCCTGCGGTTCCCGCTACATACTCCTCCCTCTCTTTTTTTTTTCGGAAATCATGAAGAATCAAAGAATACCCTGCTCTTATTCGAAAATATTAAGAAAAAGGCAGGAAGAAATGTAAGGGAAAATACGGCTTCTCCAAGGGGCACCGTGAATCTCATTCTTGATGTGGACAGAAGAGAATGGGGGTGGGGGGGGGAAAAAGACGGAGAGAACTATATTTTCGTGCCCCCTCCCCTTCTCCCCCCCCCCCCCCCCCCCTGCCTCCGTTGGAAAACACCATAAAAAAGGGGGGCGACAGCAATTCGGACCCTAATTCCCCAAGGACAAGTCACGAGAAACGAGCGAACACCCCGCTTCATTGACGTCGCACTTACTCACTGTTGAAGACATGGAACGCTTCTCCAAAACAACGGAATGGAAAATGCGTGTTTGTCGTCTTCGTCGGAAAGTGAGGGATTTTTATGCGCTACGTAACGATCGTACTCCGACGTGGCCGGTAAGACAAAAAACACAAGGGGTATTTACGATCTTACTGCCAAACAGCCTTATCGCAACCGATTGAGAGAAATTGTTCACTCTGGAAAGTTTCGCAGCGGTCGATACGAAATTAATCAGGCAAGGATTCCTATGCGAAATCATGCAGATTATATTTATTCTAATTTTACTACCTAACAAAGTTCAACATACAAGAAGATACCAGAGATATTAATAATCTAACGTCAGCTTCAGCTCGCAAAACAACAATGAAGCGCCGAGAAAAAGATGAAAACAAAAAAAACTGGCTCACCCTCGAATTAGCACCTCGTCCCGCAATTATTCGAAATCGAAAGGGGATGCTCGGGGCTCCAAACCGCCGCACGCTCACTCCTCTCTCTCTCTCTCTTCTCTCACTCTCCTCTCTCTCCTCACTCTTCTCTCACTCTCCTCACTCTTCTCTCACTCTCCTCTCTCTCCTCACTCTCTCTCTTCTCTCACTCTCTATCCTCCAGAAGTTCGAGGTCGAGTTCACATTCGCTTTCCATCAGTCCACGTCACGGCAAGTGGAACGATGAGTATCTTGATGACTGGATGGATGCTACCGCCTCAATAATAGTCCGTCAACGAGGCGGTTAAACGGACGAACGTCGATCCTCCTCTTCACGCTTGCTCCAAGCGTGAAGAGGAGGATCGACGTTCGTTAGATCAAAAGGAATCATTCATTTTCTCGTCTGCCGTGCACGCGATCGCCAACGAATGACGAATGGACGACAGGAAAATTAATCTTGTTTTTCCATTCTTCCTCGGAACTCATTAGACACCCAAGAATGGAAGGTGATTGGTCGCTGGGGTGCTACAGCCAAGATCCACGCTTCAAACATTCCTCTATGGTTACACGAGCGTTCCCCATTGTAGTTTCACCCCTAAATTTTGCGACTCGGGAAATTCCCAGCTGAATAGGGAGAAGCAGTGGCGTATTTTATTGGGCGGCCCTACAGTGCCCCTGGTGTGACGCTAGATCGATTTGCGAACGATTGTGACTCAGAGAATTTCGGAACAAGGTCCTCGTGGATTTATTTAATAAATTTTTACGTGAACTTATTTAATACATTTTCCCCTGAAACTTTCTGTTCGAGAACCCGCGACGAACGGACACGACGAACAACGAATCGGGACATTTCCAACAATCGACAGGACTTACAGAACAATCTGGCGGGACCGGCCACAGCCATCGCGCAGTCTCGACTGGAGGCGAGCGAGCCACGCGAAGCGAATTGGAGCAGGCGGACGAGGCGCCCGGGATGGAAACCACCGCTGGCACTGCTGGCTCGGATGGCATCCAGAAAAACCTCTCTACCTCTCCCCCTAGTCGGCGACTGGAGCCCGCTTCCCGAATGAGGACACCCTTCATCCTCTCTAACGCGTCACCGGCTAGGAGGAGCTCTTACGAAAATTTACGGCTGCATGGAGAGCGCATGGGGCCAACCCACCTCGTAGCAAACGAGAGATAGGGAACGATTAATTATAAGTTCACACCGGGACAGAGCCTGGGGCCAAGAATTGCATTTGAGAAAGGGTTCGCAAACTGGAACAGGATTTCGAGTCTGTGCTAATAAACGAATGCCATCCGCAAACTGGAACAGGTGTGACGTAACAAGTGATCGATATCAATTAGTCACCTGCCCCGTTCCAGATTCGAGGGTTAAGGCAGGTTCGCCAGACAGAAATTCTGGAGAGATGGAAACCCTCGTGATCTTTCCAAGTAAATTACTTAACTTTATTAAAATAAAGACAATAATGAAATATCAAAAAAAAGGAAAACACAGTTCTTCACAGTACTTGTTAAAGAATTTAAGTTATTAATATTGGATGGGAGAAGGATCCGACTGGGGCAAATTCTACCGGAATCTGAAGGTAATTTATATTACTGTTCTCTCTCTCTCTAACTCGGGCCACACACCTCATACAACCAAGGGACAGGGCTAACCTTTGCGCTGGTAGGTTGTCCTGGAGTCAGCTCCGGATATGGTAAGGTCACAATGGTGCCTTCCAAGTAGCGACTGACTCCAGGATCCAAGTTTCTCCTAATATCCTCGGTACCTCTGGGAGGAGCCAGGGTACCTTCCTCCAAAATCCGAGGTTCGGATTGGATATTCGACTTGGCCCCCTTTTGTCCCATTGGCTGCCTTTTCGGTGTTGGTCCCGACTTAATTTTAAATTTCAGTAGTGCTACCACACTGAAAGAGTAATAGAATTACCCAAACCAAAATACACAAACGGGGTCAGCCAATGTCCCAACAGGGTAGGAGGAAAACTGGTATAAAGTAATAAGAATGAAGTAACTGAGTATTAGACAAAATCAGGTATTTTTCATTAATTCCTTATAATTGGTCAGTAATTAAGTCATCAAATCAGATTGAAAGAATCAAAACACTTTCCTTCAATATGCAATATTAGGATTAACAATACACCACACGAAAGCCAATTTCTCAAAGGTTATTTAAAAAAATTAACATCGTTTCATTTCATTACCACAGACCATTAGGAAGGGAATAGAAAGGTGGGGAAAATATTCGAGTAGAAAAGGATGAGATTCCTGCAACTCTCTTTTTAACACCTCAGGAGGAGTACACAGTATATTTCCTCCTTCTCTTCTTTTGTTGTGTTTTTCCCTTTTTAATCACCGTACAAGTCAAGGGAACAAAGAGTTCTTCCAGGTAGGCCTAGGAGGCGAAAAGGGTGGAAGACCCCGTTCTTCACATCAGTATGGATCTGAAAGAAGAACGTGTGACGGGCGGCATGCGAGTTGAGCCGTGTAGAGACGACCGAGCCCGATTCTAGCGCGTGGAATGACGTCTGTCCAATCCGTCCGAAAGATCCGAGGCTAGATAGAACTTGTTGAATCTTTTAGAATCATTAAAGCAATTTAAAAATCTAGAATCTTGAGAAATGTTAGTGTCATTTCGATTTCTTTCTTGACCTACTGGTCCAGGCCCGTGTTTTTCTTATTGTATG